CCCCATAGACTTGTGAGTGTCCAGGTGGCGTAGCAGGTTGTTAACTGCTTCCTCTTGGATTATGGGGCGTTCATCCTGCTCGCCTATGCAGAGGAAATACACCTCCACATGCTCATACACACATACACACCCCTACACCCCCCAGCATGTCCCCCCTTCTTCGACATGTAAATCTTCCCTGCTGAGAAGAACACTGCCCTCTTTGGGAGTAATTTCCCCAGGCCTAGTATAGAGAAAGCCTGCTTTGGATAGTACAGTTAGAGAAGAGTGAAGACTAACGAAGTCATGAGCAAAAGTCAAAGTCTGCTGGGTATTCTTCCTGTGATTTTCTGTAATTAACAAAGATCTTATTATTTTACTTTATAGCCTTAATTTTGAATGTTCAACCTTTTAAAAGCTTAGGGCATCCTTAAAACTTTGTAACACTTATCTGCATTAAAGGATTGTTTTTCTTTTTAAGTAGGGCTTTGGGGGATATATAAGAAAGCAATCGAACCCTTGCTGATACTTGTAAATTGCTTCTTGCCTGGTAACATATATTATAAATGAATAAATCTGACTGAAAAATGTTGTTCCTATGCATAGGTCCTGTCCTCCCCAATCCAGATTGGATTTTCATGAAGTTCTTCTCTCAGCCAAAATTTCCATGCAGATGACTTTCCTTTTATAGCCTTAATTTGAAGACTGCATTACAGTAGACCTGGATAGAAAGGGACATGGCCAGCTATGCCTGAGTTCCTCAAATAAAACCTCTCACATACATCCTTTCATGTAGCAGCCTGCCCTCACATCCCTTGAGAGCTGAATGCCGTGGCTGCACCAGCTTTGCCTGGATTTCAGACCATCAGCCTCCTCCTCCTGTTTTCCATCCAGGTTAACTCAACAGGCCCAGCTATATCCCAGCGGAATTTGCAAAACTCTTGTATTCGTGAGACTAACGTGCTGGTTGTACATCACACCCGATGAAAAGAAAACACTAAAAAGAGCTAAAATAGAAAAGCCATGCGTGCCTGGCTCCAACTTGCTGTTTATCATCTCCATCAAAGCACAGGCAAGCCTCACTGCCACCGAGGCAGCCTAGCAGGTCTGGCAGCAAACGGCTCCCGTGTTTATCACTAAACCCCATCTCTCAAATGGGAGAGTCTATAAGTGTTTATGTCCTTTCTGGGCTGGCCCATCAGCCCCGTGGTGTGACTCTGGAAACAGAAGCTTTCAAATAATGTCCTCAACACTGTCCTCCTTAAATCACTAAAAAATGTTTACTCAAAAGTGTTTTCTCTTGCTTCATACCATGCCTGACAGGACCAGCAGCCCTTTCCAGTTTAGTCCCATGTAGTCTGATAGAACAGTATTACTTAGAAAGACCGAAACTTGCATGATAAAATGAAATCATTCTCCACAGAAGTTAACAATTATTCCATAATGAATTGGGCATTTGGGAAGGACGGTGATGAAGAGGTGTTTAGTGTGTTAGGAATGATAATGACTCTCTGCCATTTTACAGCTTTGATCCTAAAAATATTCGTTTTGACTTGGTGAGCCAGATTCTTTGTCTCCTCTCTTTGTCCTAAATCTCTAACTTAACATAACTGCTGATTGTGGCTCTCTTCTCTGGCATGTATTTTAAGGGATGTTTCAGGGACATGTCAGGATGCGATGGTGTCAAGTCTGGGAAGCTCTGTGCTCTTGTCCTCCTCAACTGGAAGATGATCTTCAAGTATTGCTGCTAGTTGATAGAGTTCAGAGCAACACATGCTCATCACATGAAAATTCTTCAAAATGAAGCAATAGCTATATTTATGTACATGCTCGCAACAATCCTTTCTAGGAAAAAAAAATGGGAAATATTTAAATGCACAAATAAAACAAAACAACAATGATCCAAAGAGGAATCAGATCGCAATGGCATGGCTGATATTTCTATTTCCACAGAAACTGGAATTGGGATATACAAGTAGTCAGAAAGACTCTGCAGGGTTTTCATTTTCACAGTAGGTCACTAGTTTGGTCATGACTGACATAAAAAATAGTCACTGCCTTGATTCCCATCCCCAATTCCCAGAGCAGCTGGGCTGGCTGTGGGCGTTTTCTGCACGCACACCCATTCCTAGGCAAACACTGTTTGCTTTTTCTGCTCTTTCCAAGAGTGGGATGGCTACAAGTTGCATCAGAGTCCAAATCTTGGACACAAAGGAGGTCAGTTAGTGGGAAGCAAAACCAAAGGGACTGAAAAATATCTTTTCCAAAATGCTCATTAACAAGTAATGTTAAAAACCTGGAACGGTTTTACAACGAGGGGAACCAGCAGGCAGCAGAAGTAGGCTGACACTCCCACTGTGAGCTGGCTGTCGAAAGCTGACATGACTCAGAGGCCCGTGAAGGACATTTTAGACTTGCTGCGGCTCAAGGGTGGGAGACCACGCTCTGGTAAAACGCTCGCCTCTGTGGGTCCTTCCCAGCACTTCAGGCTAACTAGAAAGTGCTCCTGTGGGAAGTTACGGCATGGGTACATACAAGCATTTCAAGAGCAAGATCCAGTTATACCCCAGTGTTTTCTGAGAGGGCTAAGAAGAGAACGTCAAGCGTGGTTACCTCATCTTTTAGGTGGACATTCCCAAAGCAAAATAATTATGCTTACATGCTTCTCAGGTATTGTTTAATTGCAGCATGGTTTTGAGGATGGATTAAATTTTGGGTACTTGTTAACATATCACATATTAGTACATAAAATGCCTGACCCCACAGAGGCAAAATGAAGCAATAGCTATATTTAGGTACATGCTCACAACAATCCTTTCTAGGAAAAAAATGGGAAATATTTAAACGCATAAATAAAACAAAACAACCACGATATATAACGGAACAAGAATATAATACCCATTAAAAAAGAAACCTAATATTAAATATGAAAAAATGAAAATGTTCACCTGTATTTTTTTGTTCTTTAGCACAAAAGAAAGTATTTGGGTAAGCACAGCCCTGGCTCTGAATGCATTCAGTGTACTTATGAATAGTATAAAATCACATAGAGATATAATCAAACATGATAACCAAAATTATTCACAGAGAAATGAATCATAATCATGGGACCTTGAGTTTATACAGCCATCTGCCAAAACCATTGAAAACAAACAGGTCTTGAAATATGTCCAGAAGGATATCACAGCCAGAATCCAGTCATTCAACGAGAGAAGTGAATATTGAAATCCAACAAACTTCATAGATAATGCGCTGCTTGTAGTTGTTTGCCAGAGCTTTAGGTAACTGTGTATGAAAAAATGCTAAAATAAACCCACTCATCATAGAAAACATTGCCTCTAGGGTGTTGATTTTCATTTAATCTGTTGTTTTAGATTGGATTGGCAGATGATATTCCTCCTATTAGGAGGATCCCTCTGAATCCTAGCCAAATCTCTACTGTACTTTGGAAAAAGATAACTTCTCTCAGCTGTGTCTTGTCTCTGAGGCCAGACAAAAAATAGGAGAAAGAAGTGATAAAAGGAGCATCAAAAACTAATATTCTGTCATATTTGATGCATTCTTGTCCTTCTTATATGTTTGTCAGAATGCTTCAGTTCATGCAATTTCTAAACTGATTGATAGAGTGTTGTTGTATTGAGAAGACCCACCAGAACTTGTTGTATATGAATTTTTGTATATGTTATATATGAATTTTCATCAAAAAGTTGATGGAGTCCTTACAGAGAGCCCTCAGCCTGGTGAATCAGTCCTATTCCTGATACTGAAGTATCAAAAAGGAGCTCTTTTTTTGCTCCAAAGCTTGAGCAGAAGGATTCATGGACACCATTCCCCTGGGCTTCCCTGCAGCCATATCTCATATGAGGTGGATGCTAAGGTTTGGGCCCTTTGGAAAGCAGCCCTTCCTGGACCTTTATGCAGTGGATCTCAGTTGATATTCTGTTCTTCCTATATGCACAAAATACATCTTAAATGTCTCTCATAAGGATTTTAAATCTAGTGGGTCTACTCCCTGAGGACTCCCATACAGAGAATTTTCACTGTCAGAAAACAGCTAGAGTGATTTTAGGTTAGCCTTCCCACAGCTTGCACAAGTTTATACCTGAGAGAGAGGAACAGTTAGGGCATTCCTTTGCACTGACAGTCCCAGCAGCAGTAAAAGGTACTCAGGGAGAACCAAGTAACTTTGGGCAGCTCTCACCTATGCAGGAGTGGCAGTCGCAGGTTAGCCCAGAATTTGGGATGCAAAAAAAATTTTCATGAACTCCATCTCCATTGTGCCAAGTTCCACCTACTCACAGCTGGAGATGAGGCTTCTTCAAACAGATTTTCCATTCCTTTAATGCCTTTTGCATGGAACAAATGTAGTCCCACAGTAGCATAATCCAGGTCTCAACTATATGTTCAACAGACATCAACCATAATGTTCATCACTCATTCAGGGTACTCATTACAATTAGATTACCTAATCAAAAGCAATTCTGAGTTGAGGTCATTTAAGACTGATAAAAATTTCCTTTCACTTGAAGGAGGAAGATTTGGATCCGTGTGTTACTTGTCATGATGACTTGGGGACTGGCAGCAACACAGAACTTCACTGCATGCACAACTTTCACAAAGAGGTGACAAACTCTCAGGGCCTTATTTTCTGTTACTTGCAATGTAGAGAGTAGAGGAAGGGGTTTATATATCAAGTTCTCCAGACCTTGACTAAACCTTGAATGCTGGTGACTGAAAGAGATACGTCTGTGTGTTGAAGCTGCTGCAGTAATTCTACATTACCAGATGCTACCTAGAAGGTGGGAGAATCCTCAGTATCATCTTTAATGGTTTTTAGCAAAGTTTTGCACTGATGGAAAGACCAAAGTGAAAATGATGGGCCACACTGGAGCTGCTGCAGCCAGTATGTGTCATTCTTTAAATAACTGTATTAGCAGAAAAGGGCAACACCAGTGCTCTGAAGGAGCTGCAAGCAGCTTGGTGTTTCAATGTCTGCAGTTCAGAGCTCACACTGCAGAGAAGGAGCAAATTTTTGTCCTAATTCCCAGCTAATCGATGTTTAAGAGGTCAGAGTCTGGCTCACTCCTCTCCGTAGAGATAAATAATGTGGTATAGTTGGTGCTTATATTGATAACATCAGGAAAAGGACCGAGGACTAAGTACTCCTCTCTTTGGAGGTTGTTTCTGTAGGTGGCATCTGAGACGCATTGGTGGAGTAGAGTGAGAGAAGCAGGCGTAACTGCCACACTAGCTGTACTTTCAAACACGGAACCTTATCTCAAGACTTTTTGGTCTGGTATCAAATAAGGAAAACGAGAAAGTGCTGGATACCACATTCTTCCGGAAAAAAATAAAGTTGTGTCTGGTCTGGATCCTGC